GGGTTTGCCAGCTCCCAGGTCACGTTGCAGGGGACCGTGTGGCCTTGCAATGAAAGGCCCTATTGTGACCACTGGTCAACAAGGCAGAGAAAGGCTGTCCGTGCAGGAGGACCAGGAACCTCCCCACTTTTACGTGCTGAGAAGTGTGTGCTTCAGGTTGTGTTCAAGTAGACGGGGTGGGGGCAGTTCCTTAAATAACACCCAGAGCAAGGACAGAGATACTGATCTGCTCATTGTCCCCAGCTCCGGGGGCTTTTAAATGACTGAGCAAAGGGCTGGCTCCCCCCACCCTCCCCACCCCCCACCCCCACCCCCACCCCGGTCTTTCCCTCTTCTTTCCTCCTTGAGCTGACGTTTGTCCTCTAGCAACCCCAGGCTTCTGTTGGGAATCCTCACTCCACCTTATGGGTCAACAAGCGAAGCAGATTGTTTAAAAATATGTACATATATTCTATATCTCTTCAGTTCACACGTACAGGGACACAGGAAAGCTTTTAACAGAGAGCTGGTTCGGAGCAGGTGCTATAGGCAAAATTATTGCTGAATGTGGTAGTATATGCTTAGAATGTCAAATCTCAGGAGGGAAACTGAGGCAGGAGCACCAGGAGTACAAGGTGAGCGTCTAGGATACAGAGTCAGATCTCTTCTAAACAAACAAGAAATAACAATAAGAGGCAAACACTTAATGCTTGAGCATACGTGTATAAAGTCCGTCTCAGCACCACCCGGGGATGCCAGTGCACCCTGTGGGGCCCAGTTTCCTTGTCTATGAAATGACCCACAAGCTCCCCCTTAGGTGGTCCTTGACCTCGGCTCCCATCCGATCCCAGCTTTGCTGTCTGCCTCATGCTGGTGCTTCGGTTTCATAACATCCCACTATTCCAGAAGTGGCCGGGGTAGATGAAATCTAGAGGAGGAAGTGTCTCCATGTTCAACGCAGAAACTGCAGTCGAGGTTGACACCACGGGGCTGGGAACATGGCGAGTGTTAGAAGAGGACGATCGGAAGACCTGGGGAGCAGCTGACCCAACTTACACCCTAACACACAGGAACCATGAGTCAAATTCTCCAGACTCTTTCTCCCCACACAATTCCCACCTGAAGTCAGGGGTCCCGGGCAAACGGCTTTCTTCTGCCTCAGTTTCTCCATGGCAAATGAATGATATGGAATTAGATGATCTCTGAAGTCCAGCTGAAGCTAATACGCATGATTCCAGAAACTTCCAGAAGTGGCCAGCCACTAAGACTTGGTTCTGAAAGAAAACACCAGGCAAATGTTTTTTTTTTTTTTTTTTTTTTTTTCTTTGAGACAGGCTGGCCTTGAGTTTGTGGGCTCAAATAATCTCTGTATCTTCACCTCCAGAGTGCCTGGGATTAGAAGCACATGCCACCACACCTCACTTAAACTGTTTAAACCAGTGACGTTCAGCCACAGGACCACAGACAGCACAGTGAGGAACTCCTGAGTGGAAACAAACGCGTCTAATGCTCACCCCTCCTTAATCCCGAGAGAGCTCCGGCTTGAGAGCGCCTTCTGTGGCAGACTCAAAGCCACTCGGTTAGTTGGTGATGAGGTCAGCAGGACCCTGTAGCTTCCCTGGCCACTTCCAGAGGGGGATACTGGTGGAGTCCAGCAACACTCCTGATGGAGTTGATCTGGGACCCAAGGTTGGGGGCCTCGAATTTACAGGACAGATTACTGCCTAGGAGAAATAGATCTTCAGTTCTATAGTATGTCCCTTGGCGTCTTAAGCTGAGTATGAGTCAGCACACGCACATGGGAACCACACAAGGCTGGAGAAGGAATCACCCAAGATAATCCGAAGAAGGACTTTCTAGAGTTCACACTGAACAGGGAAAAGCCCTGCTCCTTCTGTCCACAGAAGCCTGAGTAGATGATCCCACTGTTATCTCAGTAATGGGCCTAATCAGCTTGACTAGAGACAGCTCTGGCTCCTCCTAACAAGATTTAAAATTAAGTCTGGACAGGATCAGACTATTAACAGCATCCCAGAAAAATACTAAAAATTGCTTTAAAGGTGCCTGGTGCCAGGCAATGGTGGTACACGCCTTTGATCCCAGCACTTGGGAGGCAGAGGTAGATGGATCTCTTGAGTTCCAGGCCAGCCTGGTCTACGGAGAGAGTTCTAGGACAGCCAGGGCAGTTATACAGAGAAACCCTGTCTCGAAAAACAAACAAACAAGATAGATAGATGATGGATGGATGGATAGATAGATAGATCAAAACAAAACAAAACAAAACAAAAAAATAGTCCTGTTGGACTTGAGAGACAGCTCAGTGGTTAAAATCACTGACTGCTTTTCCAAATGACCCAGGTTCAATTCCCAGCACCCACATGGTGGCTCACAACTGTCTTTTACTCCAGTCCCAAGGGGACCCAGGACCCTTACACAGGCAAAACACCAATGTACACAAAGTAAGAATGAATAAAAAATGAGGCTTGGTGACCCTCACCTTTAGTTTCAGCAGCTGGGAGGCAGAGGCAGGAGGATATCAGTGAGTTCAAGCCCAGCCTGGGCTACACGGTGAGCCCTTGTCTCCAATAAAGTAAGAAATCTTTAAGTGAAAGAATGTCAAACCTTCAGTCAGGGAAGACTCGAACATCAGGAAGGTGAAGGGCGCCAAGGCCTGTCACAGCCAAGTTGGAAGAAAACGATAAACTTTAGGCCCCAGGAGAAAAGTACTGTCAGAGCCAGTAAGAGTGTAAGGGTGGTGTACTTGGGGCCTGCATTCCAGGACCACAACCCACATAAAAAAACGCTGGTAGAAAGGGAAGGAGAAACCCGGAAGGGCTCTGTCTGGATTGAGCCAGTTTCCGTTCCTTTGGTTACTTGGACCCAAGAATGAGGTCCCTCAGGAAGTTAATGCTCAGGCCAGAAACCCAGGATTCCTAAGAGGTGACTTAGGTGGGTCAAACCTCCCACACCTTTACCTGGAAAAACAGGGAAGAACACAGAGATGTAAAAGAGTCATGTGACGCGGGGCTGTGAGTCGGCTGTTTCCGTTCCTGGGGGCAACAGAAGATGGAGATTGCTATGTTTTCTTTTCACCCAGGGTTGCTGGGGTTTGGGGGCGCTGGGGTTGAACTTGGTGCTCTGGGTCTGTGTTTAAATAGCCGTAGTTCATTTTCAAAGTGCCCCGCTCCTCTCTGTGGCCTAGATGTTTGACTCTTTCCACCCTTGGGCTGCATCCTCAGCCCCCGGGAGTGGGGGCGGGGGGAGGGGGGAGTCTAGCAAATACCAGGATGTGAATCCAGTTCCCGCTTGGACATTGCTCTGAAGACAGCTGCGGTCTTACCAGCACAGGACTTGGAGCAGAAGCCGGGCTTGGAGGAAGACATGAGAACGGGAAGCAGAGTTGCCAGGACAGGCCAAAGCCACTTACCTTGTCAGGGCTGGGACAGGTGATAGAGAGAAGCCCATGCTTGTCCCCGGCTGCTTCTTGAGGAACCTGTGCTTATGGAGTCTGTAGAGCCTACATTTAGTGGTAGGGACGGCTGAAGGGCCTAAACCTGGAGCCACGGTCCCCTGCCCTGTGTGTCCCCCTGAGGAACTCACAAAGATCTCTGGAGAAAGGCAGTGGACCAATGCCAGGGTGTCAACTGGGTTGAACAACCCCCAAAGGAGGCTGCCCTGTGTCCCCTCTCTGTCCTCCCCTCTCAGGACAATACTGGAGAGCAGCTGCTCTTGAAGGGGAAGGAGAGGCCCGGGTGTTCCAGAAATGGACCTGGAGCTGGGGTGCAGTGGGGAGCCTAGAACAGAATGAAGTTTGGACGTGGTATAAAAAGTGACCTGTCAGTCATGCCGTTGTTACTCTAGCAGACATGCTCTGTACAACAGAACACAATCACAGGACGTCAATGAAATCCATGGAGATAAGTTTTAGGGACCAGGAGCTAGGTCAGTCAGTAACGCGCTTGTTGTTCAAGGCCTGAATTTTCCCAGAACCCACCTAAAAAAGCCGGGCGTGTTAGGAGAGTCATGTAATCCAAGAGCTGGGGGAGTGGGAGCGGGCAGATGTCTGGGGCTCCCTGGCCTAGCCTATTTGGTAACTTCCAGGAAAGTGAGAGACCCTGTTTGGAAAGGAGGTGGAGGCGGAGGAGGAGGAGGAGGAGCCGGGAAAGAAGAAAAGAAAGGTTTTTATCTTAGTGCTCTGGGTCCCAGCTGTGGGCAGCTGTTCATTAGTTTAGCAGGCAGCTCAGGAGACCCCTTCACCCTCACCACAGCCCCTGGTGGGCTCCAGGGACACCCACTCCTGCGCAGGTGACTTTGGTGCTGTCCTTCAGTGCGCGGCCCATCTGCCAGTGAGGAACGCTGGAGAATGCAACTTGGCCCACTGAACATCACAGGTCTCTTGTCCTTTTTCAGCCTGGTGGGGAGGAGTTTCCGATCTTCCCTTCAGGTCTGGGAGCACCATCAGGCACTGATGGCTGCAGCCTTGGCTGGTCCCCCCAGCGGCTCACAGGTGAGGACGATATCTCATCTCAGGATGAGCTGTCCTCCTGAGAAATGCACTTAGGAACCGGTCAGCTCTAGCCCAGCCCCACCTGAAGTTATAATACTTGATTAACTCACTCCCCTTTCACCCTGCAAGCAATACACACTATAAAATAAATTAGAACCTGCAAGCAAGCTGGTAAGTACACACCCGCCGTGACCCACCCCTGAATAGTCATGCTGATTAACACTCTCTGTGTTTTCTCTCAGACTGGTCAAGTGTAAGGTAGATCTATAATATCTATATAAGTGTAGGGTTAGAGTACTCAGATGAGTGCACATGTTTATATACATGAGTATATAAACAAAATGGACATCATGTGCACACCCTGGGAACACTGATACCACAGCTTTCTGTTACTTTAAATGAAGTGCAGTGAGAAGTCCTGCACATAACTCTTCACACATATTCTTTATAATTCTCTTGAATTGTAATTCCCATAATTGAACTGAGCCTGGCTGTGTCGAATGCCTTTCTCGGGGGACAAAGTATGGTTACCACCCCCAAGACGTATTTGTGTCCATTTCAGGAGCTGCAGCAGCTTGGGGGTATCTCATGAGTTCGAGGACAGCACAAGATTAAGTGAACAAGATAACAAAAGAAAAGTCCGGAATTTCAGACACTGCAGACAGGAACAAAGACCACTTGGATCTTCTCAGAGGATGCTCACCCCGGTTTTCTGAAAGAACTCCTTTTGGTGTAGCTGGCCTGGCGAGTGTTGGGGTGAGGGGCTCTTGAAAGCATTCTGATGCCATCTCCTGGTAAGACCAAAGACTGGCCATGGCCGTGAACACAAGCACTTCGCAAGTCTCCACAGCTGAGCCCTTTGCACCTGCCATTATTTTATGACCCGAAATTCTCTTGAATTGGCTGGCGCACCCACGCTTGGCACTGCTTAGCTTCCTGGAGATCTCATCTGCAAAGCTGCTAGGTTGAAGTGATGGAGTTTGCCTTATCTGCAAACTCCTTCTCTCTCACAGAAACTGTAATTTGGACAGTTCACACCTCCCCCAGGCCAGTCACTAACACTGTGTTTGAATCTTCAAACAGAGGCGTTTCCGCACCGAGCTGGTGAGTTAGGCGAGCAACAAAGCTCTATTTGTAGACCCTCAAGGATCAGGACAGTCTGGGGTGTGTTTTTTCTGTTTGGTGCAGGAAAGAAGAGAGGTCCATGACTCCAATTTCTGGAATTCGGCAGCCTTCCACAACATCTCTGGTTGTGTTACACAGATTTTAACGGAAGAAAAGAGGTCTTTTGGAAGACCAGGAAGCCCATTCTTGGAATGCGGAGAGGTGAGGCGTGTGGCGGTTGCTGTGCATAAGCACACATTCTGTTTGAGTCTGTTAGGAGCAAAGGACGCGCGTTGGGCAGTAGGTGACTAGGGACCAGCTTCAAGAGCTGTCAGAGACTCAGGTCTGCACGTCAGCTTTATCCTCACAGCACTCAAGCAGTGGCAGGTAAGGACAGTTCTTGACCAAGTGGGTTGGAGCTGGGCTCCAGGCAGACCCATTTATTGGGGGGATGAAGTTAAAGGATCAGAGTGAACGCCAAAGGCAAAGATGTTCTGATTTTGGGTGCTGCCTGGGAGGGTGGTGGTGCCATGTCCAGATCAGGGACATTGTGGAAGAAGTGGGCATTTAAAAGGGAAGACCCCAAGTCTGAAGCCTTCATGAGTCACCCATGGAGATGGTCAGAAATCACCGGGAAAACAGGAGACCAGGGCTAGAGATCCCACCACTGGGTGGGACCAGAGGACAGGTGTCCATGGGAACACACAAGTGAAGGGGAAGCAGGGAAGTCCTGGTTTAGGGAGTGGGGAGTTGGGGAACACTTAGAGAAATGGCAGAGAAGAGAGAAGTCCTGGGAAGGAGGAACTTCAGGAAGAGGGTGACGGTCAGTGAAGGTTTCCGCAAAGGCGCTGTGAAGGGTGAGGAGGAACCGGAGCTGCTGTTCTTGAGAAAACCCAGTGGGAAGTGAGTGGTGAGGGTCCAAGCCAAGTACAAAGATCTTTTTTTTTTTTTAAAGATTTATTTATTTATTTATTATGTATACAGAGGAGGGCGCCAGATCTCATTACAGATGGTTGTGAGCCACCATGTGGTTGCTGGGAATTGAACCCCGGACCTCTGGAAGAGCAGGCAGTGCTCTAACCTCTGAGCCATCCAGCCCCAAAGATCTTATTTTTGCAGATTTCTTAGGACGGGATTTTATGTGACCTGTGCTGCCCTTGAACTTATTATATAGTCAAGAATGACCTTGAACCCCCAACTTTCTTTTTGTCCACCTCTCAAGTGCTAGGATTGTGGGCATGTGTACTAGACCTGGCTACTTACCAATAACTAATTAATTAATCAGACCCAGGCCTTGCGCCTGCCAGCTAAGTGCTGTCCCTGAGCTACAGCCCTGTCTTCCTTCCATTCTTGTTTGAGACAGGTCTAGATGAGTTGTTGACTAACAAAGTATTTATAAGTAGAGCCCTGCATGTGGCACAGGCCTGTGACTCAGTGCCTGGGAGACCAGGGCAGGAGGATCTTGAGTTCAAGGCCCACTTGGCTACATTGTGACATCCCATCTCAAACAAACAAACACCCCCCAAACCCAAACTGACTGAGTTGTACCTCTCAGAAAGTCACAATGAAAACAACTGTGTGTCATTTTTGCCATTTAAAAGGCAGGCAGGAAGACAGCACAGACATCTAAAGGTTGTAGTCTTCTCTGTACTCTTTTCTGTGCTTGGCATGTTAGCATAACAAATTGCTTTAAATTGTGAGCGGAGAAGAAGATGTGTGGTAGATCAGAAACGGAAGGAGCTGTCCGGACCTCTGAGGGGGCTGAGGGTGATTTCAGGAAAGGCTGGAGCATGACAGAGAATAAAACCTTCTTTCCCTGCGATGGCGGCTTGGACATAGTTCTTAGAGTGTGAGGATCCACGGGGAGGGAGAGGAGGAGGATGGAGGGGCAGGTGGTAATGTCCCTAGGAAGCTATGTCTACTTGCTAGCCCCTGGGACTATGAGTGGACCTTATTAGGAAAGAGAGTATTTTCAGAAAGAGTTAAGGATTTTCCAGGTGGGCCCCAAATCCAGTGTCAGAGATGGGAGAGGACAGGCATGGAGAGAACTTGGGAGGCCTATGTGGAAATGGGCGTGGTGCGGCCACAAGCCAAGGAGTGCCTGATGTCACCCAGAGGTGCAAGGGCACCAACTCTCCCCTACGGCCCTTGGGAGCTGGGTGTCACAGCACTGTCCTGGTTTCAGGCCTCTGTTCTCCACAGCTGTGACAGAATGACCATGTTTGTTGTGGCATCCTGGTGAACTGAGGTGAGGGATGCCGGCCCTGTGAGGGGTCCTGAGGCACTGAGGGGGTCTCAGGTCCCTCGGCCCTCCATGTCCACCTCGCTCTGGCCTGGCCGTCTCAGGTCCCTCAGCCCTCCATGTCCACCTCACTCTAGCCTGGCCGTCTCAGGTCCCTCGGCCCTTCATGTCCACCTCACTCTAGCCTGGCCGTCTCAGGTCCCTCGGCCCTCCATGTCCACCTCGCTCTAGCCTGGCTGGGTGCTCAGTTCTTGAGAGGTTAGACACTGAGGTGTGAACATTCCTGACACGCATTCAACTGAGGAATTAATTGACTTCAAATTTTCCTTTTTGGTTTCCGCCCAATTCTAGGAAATCAAGAGGTTTCAGCGCTGTCTTTCTCCTCTGCTCTCGCTCTGAGAGTTGAGCCAAGGTGGTCTGCAAGGGTTCCTGGAGGGACTCTTCTCTAAGAACCTCACTTTTTGCTGTGGCTCACAGATCACGTGACAAGGGGACTGCGGCAGCCAGGCCATGCAGTTCCTGCTTCCTGCTGGGGCCAGAAGAAATTCTAGTGTTGGCCACTAGAATTTAAATATATATATATATATATGTATATATATATATATATACATATATATATATATAAAATTTATTTTTATTTTGTATTCATTGCTTGTATGTATATCTGTATGAAGGAGTCAGAAGCCCTGGAACTGGAGTTACAGACAGTTGTGAGCTGTCATGTGGGTGCTGGGAATTGAACCCTGGTCCTCTGGAAGAGCAGTCAGAGCTCTTAACTGCTGAGCCATCTCTCCAGCCCCATGGCCACTGGAAATTTTTACATTTTCATCCTGACTCTAGACTGCCTGTGTGGGGACAGGGGTCCCTTTGAGGCCTGTGGAGGTTTGGGTACCAGTCTGGCTGCCCTCCCATCTCCCTCGGGGGCAGTTCTCACGTGGATTTCAGGGCTGGAGGATCTCCAGGAACTGCTTCATCCTCCTGTGGCTCTGGAGTCCAGTGGCAGACTGGTCCCTGGGGAGAACACAGGCCACCTCAGGAGGGCTCTGTGCTATGAACACTGTAATTTTCCAGCTTCAAACTCAGTCTCTGGCCAGGTCAGTGGCCTCCTTTCTCATTGTTTTTCTCGCTTCCAGTGCGTCCATTGTTCCTTCGGCACCCACTAGCCATTCATCCTTGGCCGGGACCTCTGGGCTTTTGTCCTCCCCAGACTGTGCCTACTGTTCTTTAGACCAGGGACCAATGACTGCCTTCTGCTGCAGGGAGCATTTCCCAGACCGCATGGCTGTTGCTCATTGCCCTTTACAGCTGGGTCTGACATCTCATCCTTGTTCAAACTGCACGCCCGCCCTGTGGTGACACTCTGGTGGCACCCTGGGTTGCTACTTCTCCATGCAGGTGTTCGCTCCTGCCTCCCACCCTTTCTCTTCTCTGCTGACCCAACTTTGCACCCCACGAAGGCCCAGTTTTTTGTTCTATCCACAGTACCCTTTCTGCTTCCTCCGAGCCCTCTCTCCTCCGAAAATCTCCACATATTAGCAGCTCACTGCTGTTTAACCACCTGTGGGTATATTTCCTCCTCGGTGTCCACAAACTTGTTCATCCCACTCCCTTACGTTTGTACAGGGAGAAAAAACAGCACGGCTTATGTGCTTGGCACTCGACTAGAAGCTTTAGGTTCCATATGGAGGGAGGCTGGCTTCTTCCTACTGGCCTCTGGAACCGCTCATACCCCAGGAGGCTGATGTTCACGGTGCATCCACAGGCCCTATCACTCCCTGGCTTCAAAGTGGTCCCCCAGCAGGATGGGGATAGGAAAGCAGAGGTCAGGGCCTGCTCTCTGCTGTGGGGTTCCCCTGAGCTCTAGCATGGGGTTCCCCTGCACTCTGCTATGGGGCTTCCCTGGTGACTTGTCACAGGTCTGGTTAGGAGGTCCTTTCCGCACGGCTCTTTGTCTGGGGGTGGGAGGGGGGGACCTGTCCCTCCCTGTCACTATCAGCCTGAGGAAGCCACTGTGCTCTAGTCTCACTGGTGCCCTCCCACCTTGTGGCCCTGTGACCTCCCACACCGCTGCAAATAGTCACCTTACTAAGATCTGACGTGTTCACCTATCCCCAACACCCCGAGTGACATGGGTGGCCAAGCCTTCACGAGAAGCCGGAGGACTGAGCACACAGGTGCGTGAGGACCGGAAGGACTGCTCATGCCGTGGCGTCCACACACACAGAATCCTGTGAACATAGTTGCTACCCGAGAACCTTTTGTTTTCCGTGTATGGAAGAAACCTCACTGGTTTTAAATGAATTCACAGCTAGTGGTGCTTCCCATGTGGAGTATTTTGCCAATGTAGGACCACCAAAATTATCTTGAAAAAAAAAATGTACAGCCTTTGCCACTGAGAGTTTCTGGTGAAGAACGGAAGAATGGAGGCCCCAGGGCAGGGCTGCAGTTGGGTGCTGTAAAAACCTGCTGCTCTGGTGTGGGTGGCAGATGCTCCAACAGGGACAGCTTCATTTCCTTCGCAGTAAAGCAAGCAGCAATAGCCCCCAGAAAAGATAAAACCCAATCTGTTACGATCAGCAATTCCAATCACCCCCAAGTCCCTTAGGGAGTCCTCAGAGACCGTAGTTAATCAGACAAAGGAACTCCATTGAGAAGGAATTTCGATAAAGCCAATCTAAAGCATTTCTGAGAATTGAGTTGTTGAAAAACCATCGCGGAGCTATACAGAGCAGAAATCAGGATCCAGAGAGCTTGTCCTGAGCTCCACCCAGGAGGTCAGTTTTCAGTCTCAAGGATTCCCAGCTCTTGGGTGAGTGTGTATGTCGGGACTATACTGTCCAGGGATGCTCTAGGATCCTGCTTAGCTGGAGTTAACAGGAAAAAGAAAAAGAAAAAGAAAAAAAAAAAAAGCTCAGCTGGGAACAGACAAATCTAAGACAGTCATCTTTCTTAAACTCCGTTAACATACGACCTCCATGGGTCCGGTTACTTTTCTCTTACAGCTGCTGTTTCCACGTCTGGCTGTGAGCGGGGTGTGGGGGGTGGTATGGGGGGGGGTTGTCCGCCGTGACAAAGACAATGCTGTGTCTTGTTTGTCCTTTGAAGCTTTGCTGCTGGCACTGCCAGCCCCGAGCTGTTTGGATCG